AGAAACTAGTAAATGACATTAGATGCAGGGGTACTTTGAAAACTCTCATATAATCCTTTCTGCACAGTTGTCTCATCTTTAAACTGAAAGTTATATTTAATAATGATTTAGAAGGAACATCCGTATTATATTAGCTAAAAACAATGGTATGATACATTGCATTGAGTCAACAGCAGCAACAGAGGCAAGCCAGCAAAGGGGGAAGTTATTATAAAAGTCAGTCACCAAAAGGGACCATAAATGGACTGGTGATCAGGAGAGTCAAGAGGCAGGAAGGTAGGTAAATAACAAAAAGAAATCTCCAGGAGATCTTAAAATCCCCAAAGAGAGAATTACTTTGCCTATAAGTGGTAATTCGGAGTCATTTCTAAAAAGAAGGGCAACTAATAAGATACTTTAGGGTCCCAGTAATACCTTCCTTAAAGCCTGAAGGTTGCTTACCTGGGTAAAATGTGTAATACTAAACAGAAAACCAGAAAAGCAGGAAGAGAGAGAAATCCTTGAATGAACAAAATTAGAAATCAAGTAATTCCTACACCGGCCTCAAGCCTGCATTTTCAATCTTTCTTTTACTGTAAGAGACCATGCTGTAGCAAAGAGAGCAAGCATTAGAGTCAGACAGACCTTGTTTGCTACTCATGGGTTACTATGAAAAATATACCTGATCACCTTGTGCCTCCTATTTCTCACCCTATAAAATAAGGAACAGCAATGTAACTAGTCGATAAAGTTGCTGAGATGATTAAGATAATGTCTTTTAAGAACAACGTCTAATACTCAGCAAGTGCTCAATAAGTATTAGCTATTGTTATTGTTACTGTCATCTTAGGCATTCTCATGTAAGCATGGTTATTCTGTCCATAGTGAAATCAAAGGAAAAGGCTCAAACAAGAACAGATAATAGGATTAATCTCTTCTGTCAACACTAATCAATTGACTTTACAGCCACTTCTGGGATCACCTGGGAACAGAAATGAAATTGGACAGAAATTTTAAGTAGTGTCTGAAACTCATACCACATTTTTGTATTCACCAAATTAGAAGTTCTAGCATCATGCAGTTCTCCTGATAGAAATTCTAAACAAGGAAAAGGTTAAGATGTGAAGAGTATTTGTTGTACGGAAGGCATTCTTTCAAAATATCCATCTAAAATATTTGATATGAAAAGAAGTTACTGATAATGAGAAGTATGTTTCAGTTAGTAAGTGAGTAATGTTAATGGACGTGGACTCTACAATGGCACTGATTTACATTCTGAATCCTCTATTAACTGTGTGGTTTGTGGGGCAAGTATTTAAACTCAGAGCCTACTTCCTCTTCTGTAAATAGGATGTTATCCACCAAAAAGAACCAGAGATAGCAGTGCATGGCACTTAGTAGGGGCCTTTAAAATGGTAGGTGATAAACTTCTATCACATAGAAATTTCACTTATTTGGAAGAATGGGCCTATTTCCTATTGATGCTGGATGAATGAGTATGCTTCTAAAACAAAAACACAATTCTACATTCAAAGAAGTTCAGCACTAGAAGGACCAAAGATGAAGTCTAATCTAACCTCCTCATTTCACAAAGGAGGAAACTGAGGTCCAGACCAATCAAACCTGGCTGCCAGCTTTACAGATATTAACAGAAAAGAAGTATCAGCCCAATAGAACTCCCAGCTTCTTAATCTTTTTGGCATATGACAATTCTCTTTATCAATATGTGAATAACAATCCTCTCTTAAATTCTTGTAATCTCTATATAATAGTGATTCATGTTCATCCACTTGGTTACACTCAATACTGTTCTATTTTAATATGCTCATGCAACCTCTCCTTTGCTATAAAAGGTTCCAACACTTAGGGATTCCATTTTCAACCCTGAAGTTGTTTTGCCAAAGCTAGGTGCAAATGATGACCAACCATGGCCTGAAACATTCCAGGTCTCAAGACTCTATCACTTCAGATGGAAAAGGAACCCAGGACAAGGCAGGCACTTATAACCAAACATGAACTATATGACATGCCAACTTTCATCCACTTTACTGTTTACTGAAGAACAGAAACAAATAAAGTAAGAATAGAACAGAGGAAGGAAAGCACTGTGTGTCTTCTCAGGGGATCACTTAGCAAAGACACATCCCTGAGATTTAAACAACTTTCTCACAAGAATGGAAAATCCCAAACAGGGTTACTAGGGTTCTAAATAGGAACTACAAA